AAAATTAATGTGAATATAACAGAAATAGAATGAGTCAAATTACTCAATTTATTAATGACAAGCCTTTCCCTTAATTTAATATCAGGAGAAAAGCCTGAATATTAAAGATCATACCATATATAAATTTAGAAGCTATAAAAAGCAAATATAGCAATAAAATTTTATTTTAAAAAACATTAGGTGAAAGAAAAAACCTTCTAATTATAAAAAGATGTATTTATCAAAATTCCATAAATTTAATGCCTAGAAAATGAAGGGTACATAATTTTCCACCAAAGTCCTCTTTTGATACCTCATTATGACACAGAGTTGATCTTGGATTCTCTAATGCTCTGCCAGGTCCTACAAAGATTTGAAAGATTTCCAGTATTAAACAGATACTGAAAAGATCAAAGAGAAAGTTCTGGGAAAGCTACCTAGCCATATCCTAGAGGCTCATCAATAAGTAAGGTGAAGGGGTCACTTATAAAGTGCTGAAATAAGGCTTAAGTACCTGCAATTAAAAGAGAGGACCATAATTTGGGGTTATAGACCTAGGTAAGACTAACAGGCTTTGTTCAAAATATCACAAAGATAGCTGGGCAAAAGAAAATACGGCCCAGCTTTCACACATAATTCATAGACTGAGGAAGAAGGGTACCAGACCAAGGGTCACTGGTAAATCCAAGGAGAAACTACACTAGGTCTCCTTTTCCAGTTGAAGTTGGAACTGGGGTGGGGATAAAAAAGTGCTAAGAATACCAGGAAAGGGGTGTAATTAGGAAAGCTCACAGAAGCTTTCTAGTGTGAAGATGAGGGTTATATACATGGCAGGGATTTCAAGACAGGGTAAACCTACAGCTGTGTCACTCTGATTCTGTATGGGGTTACGGAGCCTTCCACTGTGAAGATGTAGCTGACGAAAGGAGAAGAGGGGAGAACATGGGAAAGACTGAACTTCAGTCCCTCTGACTCTGAGAAGCCTTCTGTGATGCAGGGAGGGACTGGAGTCAGTAGTTGTTTCCTGGAGTTCAAGTACCAAGGAACCAAAGTTAGTCTCATATAAGACTTGGTAGCTACCACTATAAAGAAGAGGAGAGCTCAGAATGCAATATTCCAAAGGGCAAAGATAAAGCTTTTTACAACCAAGAATTATGCACCTGAGTATAATCCTATAGGGGACAAATGGGTCTTTAGTGAAACAGAGGACTTCCAAGCATTTCTGATGAAAAGACCCAGAGCCAAATAGAAACTTCAAAATACAAACCAAATTACCAAGAGAAACATTAAAAAAAAATCCACTGAAGCAATTGTAAAGGACTATAAAAGGACAAAGAGTTTACATTCTAATAGGAAAAGGAAAAAGAACTGTCCCCTCAAAACCATAATGTCATCAAAGGTCAGAATGAGTCAAACAAGACAGAGGGCTGGAGGATGGATTTGTTTTAGCAGTTTTAAAAGAAAAAAGAAAAGGAAGGTAAGAAGCAGTGTAATTGGGGGAAAAGAGGATAGAACTTAATGTTTCACATTATCAGGGTGCTAAAGAAGAGAAGCAGTCTGGCAGAAATTACTTTTAGATCAATATCTCAAACCATATGCCAAAATAAGTCCTAAATGGATGCACTACTTAAATACAAAAAGTCAACATCATAAACACATTAGAGAAGCAAGGAAGGAAATACCTATCATAACTATGAATGGGGACAGAATTTGTGAGGGGGACAGAGAGGGTCACAAGAAACAAAGCAGACAATTTTGATTTTATAAAATCAAAAAGGCTTTGTGCAAACAAAATTATTGTATTTAAAATGAGAGCAAAACAGTTAATTGGGGGGTGGGACTTTGCAGCAAGCTTCTCTGATGATAAAGGTCTCATTTTGAAGATACATATGGAACTGAATGAAGTTTATAAGAGATATTCCCCAAATGATAAATGGTGAAAGAATATGAAGTTATTTCTCAAAAGAAGAAATCCAAGCTATCAACAGATATTTTAAAATGTTCTAAATGACTAATAATTAGAGAAACACATATTTAAACAACTCTAAGATTCCACCTCATTCCCATTAGATTGGCAAAGATGACAAAAAGGGAAAGTGATCATTGCTGCAGGGTTTGTGGGAAAATAAAATCACTAAAGCACTATTAATAGAGCTGTGAATTGTCCAGACATTCTGGGAATCAATTTGGTTCTGCATCCAAAAACTCACTAAACCTTTGAGCCAGCAATACTACTACTAGGCCTAAACCCCAAAGAGTTGAAAAAAGGGCAAAAGGACCCATTACAGTAGCAAAGAATTGGAAACCCAACAATTGTGTGATTGTTGGAAAAAATATGAACATAATATAATATTGCTGACAAAAGAAATGAAAAAAAGGATGCTCTCAGAGAAATCTAGTAAGACTTGTATGAACTAATGCAGAGTGAAGTTAAGTAGTACTTCGGAGAACAATTTATACAATAACAACACAACTGTAAAGAAAAATAATTAAGAAACTTAATATCTCTTAATCAATGTAATGACTATTTATTATATGCTTCCAGACAATAGATGATAAAACATGCTTTCTACCTCCTGGTGGTGGAGTGATGAACTTAAAGTACAAAATGATATTTTTATGTTTTCAGGCATGGCCAACATGGAGATTGTTTTACCTGACTGTGATGATGACTTGTGGCCTTGACCTGCCTTTTCTTTTTTCAAGGGGGGGGGGGTGGTAGGAGGAAATTATAGAGGACTAGCAATAAGGTTACTAAAATTAAAAAATACATATGGAAAGAGGGTCATCGAAGCATTTAAAAAATGGACAGAAGGTCAAAAGGAAAAAAACAAGCTGAACAGCTTTGAAAATGTTTTCTAATATATCTGGAGGGAGAAGAAAGCTGTTAAGTGGTAAAGAATTGCAGCTGCATGTGCAATCCTTTTTTTCTGTTTTGCTTTGTATATGGAAATAATTTCATTTGATGTTTCTTGAAATAAAAATTTTTAAAAAAAAATAAAGATACAAAAAAAGTTTTCCAACCATAGGTCTAGTATATCCTAAGGCACGGGTAGGAAACCTCGGCCTCAAGATGGCAGGATCCCCACCCCTGTCCTAAGGTAAAGGAATTATTAGGGAACATTAATTTTTATTAGAATATAAAGAATGGACAATAAAAGACATTTGAGAAAGAGTTTAAAAAGTTAACCTACCATCCCCACAAAAGAGAGGTGGTCAAGGGATATAAAGAAATAGTTTTCAAAAGAAGAATACATCAACAATAAATAAAACTACTGAAAAAGATTCAAAATCACTAACAGCTAAAAGTGGCCTATTATAGCCCCCAGAAGCTGCTTGCTTAATGCCATCTGCATAACACTGCAATATATGAAGTACTGAAAAGAATCATCCATGAATGAACATTAACCTGTTTACTGTTCCTATAAATATCACAGAGTCTGCAGACTGGTTTGGTTAAGGGTTAAATAAGAAATACAGGAAATGATGAACAACGGCAGCTTTATTCTTTGTTTTGTTTTTAATTAACCTTGATTCCCTGATCCATGAAGCCTCTTACCCAAACTCCTAATGAGCTAATAATGGCCATCAGGGTAGAGGAGTGAACCCATCTGTTCTGGGAAAGCTTCTCAGTTAAGGTCATTAAGAGCAAGTCCAAAAATCTGTAAAGTCAGCTAGAGAGTTAGTGTCTCTCCCAAAGTGTCTTTTCTCCCCTCAACTCTTCCCAATTACATTGTTCAAAGATCCTAATCTCAAAGCATACACCTGGGAATTTAGGACACATAACACTCTTTCTGCCCATCAATCACTGCCCCAAAAGCCCTGCAGCACTGAGGAAAAACTGGTGAAACATCAATGACATCGTCAGAGATCAGACCTTTCCGATATGTAAAGGGAAATTGGGGATTCTTATTTGGACATTCCAACTCCCCCAAAACCCAAACATGGCCCTACCATGCCTGGCCAACTCACCTGCAGGTCCAATGCTTGACTCATGCTAGAAGAAACAAAGCATCTGCCCCCCACCTCAAATTTTGGTTGGTTATGAGAGAATATCCTTCAATAAATCTCATAAGGATACAGACAAATTATGTGCAAGGACTATCTTTTATTTCTGTGTGGAACTTGGGCTTCAGCACAAAATCACCCATTTAGAAAGTATTGCTGTTAAATAACGCAGAAATGGAATAAGAGGGCCTGATTACTTCTCTTGTACTACTAAATAAAATTAATGAAATGTTAAATAAAGTTAATTCACTAATGAACAGATAAATAAAAAATTTTAAAGCCCTGAGGTAATCCCTTCTCTCATTAGGCTGGCAAAGGTGGAAAACTCACTGTTGGAGGGGTTGAAAAAAGAAAAGCATGCTAACTCAGTGCTGGTGAAGGTGTGAATCGTTCAAAATCCATTCTGGAAAATGATATGGAATTATACAAGAAACCTTACTAACATGTTCACAGCCTTTAATTTACAGTTTATCCTACTGGGACCATATCCTAAAGAGGTTACTGATAACAAGAAAAAACCTATATATACAAAACTGTATATAGCAACAATTTGTAATAAAAAGAACCTGGAAACAAAAGAGATTTGACAATTGGGAAGAGGCTGAAAAAATTATTGTATATGAATGGGATAAACTATATTAAAGGATTATAATCAAGTACAAACATGAAGAAGTTTCAGAAACACAGGAAAACTTGTCAATGAAATGATATAAGAGAAAAGACAAAGCCAAAAGAACAATGACTCAACAGGGTACAACTCTTAACTACATTCAAAACTGAGAAGGCAATAAAATTTCAGTCAAATAAGAAAACTTAAGGCTACATAATCCTTTTTGGTAACAAGCAACGAACTGTTAAAACTTTGTGGGGAATACTTTGTAGGTGCAGGAGGGACTGCTTGACTGGAAGCATTTTTTTTTAACACAAAGGGTTATTTTTAGCCCAAAAGAATCTGACAGTTAAGTGTTCACAGAAACTATCTTCACAACAAGATCTATTTTTTATTACAAGATTAGAAGAAAGTGCACACACAGTTCCCCACTACTACCATAAATTATGCAGTCAAGTTTCCCGCATTTGGGAAATCACAGGAGTCAACCCATGCAGAGTATAACGGATAAGCCTCATCCTGGAAAAACTATCTTCATGATCAAGGCATCTCTCCTGCCAGGTAAGTATGAATTGCAATGACCACGCACATCAACACTTTCACAAGCAAATCAGTTTACATCCATGGCCACACCCTCCCAAAATCTGAAAAGTTCTACCCCAGAAACAACATAGCAAAAATACTGTGAATAATATTCAAATGTTGTGATTTCACAGGTTTCATAATTCTACCCCAACATACGCTTCCTGAATCTTTCCCATAGAGAACTGAGATATCTGTTTTATATATTACTAGCCTCTCTTTCAACATCATGCAATGTCAGGTAGCTTGCTATGCCTCCTGCAGCTGGCTGGCCAGCCCCTGATGCCCCAAGTCTGCATGAGCAAGTATTCCCTTCTCTTGGTACAGCCTTCGAGCCTCATAAACCACTTTCCTAGGGGAGTCACTTCATTTGATTCTCATGAACATTCCAACAAAGGCCAAAGTCACTATCCTCTAAGGAAATTTCATTTCAGAAATTTCCTCAAAATCACAAAGGAAAAAAGGAAAGACCAGACTCCATTCAGTGCTCTTCCACCTCTGATATCTCCAAAGAACCACACACTATTTTTGCATTTTTTTGTAAAATTAACTAAAGTCTACCTCGTATTATTACCCTGAATGGGAGGCCTTTTCCTTTTTCTATAGAGGCCTTGAAAAACCCACTTAGGCTGTTCCCAGTGAAAATCTTGGGTGGAGACATGAATCAATGAGATTGTTTGTGAAAATACTCTCAAGCTTGAATTCAGTCCTATAAACCCCAGTACTGAGGGTCTGGGCCCTGATTTTGGCACTTCATTTTAGAAAATTCTACCAAACATATGCAGCCCTAAATAAGAAATGGATTATATTGTATTGATTGTAACCTTTCTTCTAGGAAAGGACCTTTGTTAAAATTGTACCACATTCTAATCTGATCACCAGCAACTAACCTGTCTACCCAAGACAACAGTAACTTTTTCTTTTTAAATGTTTATTTCCTTGATAAATACCAAAATAAATTTAAAAATCACAAAGTCTATCTTCTTGTTATGAAATATCAATAGAAGCACAGTCTCTTCCTACTATAGAACAAACAGCTGAGTGTTGTATTTGAGGAAAATCATATGAATTCAGGACAACCAATCTAGAATGGTTATAAACCTTAGTTTATAACCTGGGAAAAGCCCATCTTTATGAGCATAGCACCTATTCTACAATATTCTACCTATAAATATGATAGGCCTCTGCCACCAACATCTTTGAACATTTACCACCCTAAATCCATAGTCACTCCTGCAAGACCTAACCTCTGAAGACACTCTAGAATAGCTAAACACACAAAGGGAATAAAACTCTACCCCAATATTGGAGGAATTGAGGAAACATCTTCCAGGTGATTGTGTATGAAGAAAGAAAATTCTTTTACAGCCCAAGGAACCTTACTTCATTTACTTACTCCACACCCCCTATATCAATCAATTGCTGATTTACTGAAGGTTCCCCTTCTAAAGATTTCACCAGTCTTACTTTCTTTCTCCAGATTACATTGCTATATTGGTTTCTCAATCCCATAATGCATTAGAATTGGCTGCCATCCTGATAGTAAATGTACCATTATGGCTGCAAACTTAACTTAAGGTAGGCATAACCAATGGCCTCTGGAAGCTTTGAGCTGGTCATGGTGATCCAGATGTGCTGACCCCAGAAATTTTCCCATATGTTACAAATGCTGGCACATGATTTGTGAGTGTGGATATAAATGGGAGGGGGGAATGGGTGGGAGGGTGTGAGGAACTGTCCACTTCAGTTCAAAATACTGTGATCTCAAGTTCAAATTCTAGAAAGCTATAATTTCTCAGACTATCAGTTTTCTTATCTATGGAATATAGTACCTACCTCCAGTGGACAGTAACCACAGACTTTTGTAAAAAATACAAATAGAGCACCTTCATTTTGATACCTCTGTTACACGTTCATACTTTCAGCACTATTTGCACATGGTCACCAATAACTCATCCTTTCAGGAGCAACTGACTCCCTAGACAGAACAGAGAACAACCTTCTAGATTTCTACTAGAACTTTGGAGATGTAGAGCACCCATAAGGGTGAGCCCTGACCAACCTACATGCCACTCCCTGACACACATATTCCATACCCTTACTGCTTTCTCATTTAAATTCCCCATACTCCTATTCCATTTATTCCACTATAAAGCACAGAACAACTGACATCATAATTGACCTTGTGATGAAGTAGAGGTACGCCTGAGATTAAGATATTAAGGTACCTGACTAGGTCTTTCCACAGAATTTACATATATGTTAGTACTTTTTGTGATTTGAAATTCCTCAGTTTTGTTTTTGATCACCCTGTTTTGTTGTGTTTTATTGCAGATTATCTTCACTCTACCCCTATTCTTTGGCAGAGCTAATTAGCAAATGCATCCTTGTGGCCTTTTTTTTTTTTGGTGGAGACAGTCATCTTGGCATAGTTATGCTGGAGTGATGGATATGCTGGAGTCTCAGTAGGGCTCTGATTGAAATCCTGCCTCAGATATTTACTAGCTGTGTGGCTCTGTGCAAATCAATTAACCTCTCAGCCTCAGTTTTCTCAGTATCAAATGATATAAGTTCTGTAAATTGCTGTTGTCAGCTATTATTAATGTTGCTATAGCCTTATTTCATTATTACTCTTCCCACTTCAGTCATTTTTTCCCCTTATCTATAAAATGAGGATAATAATAGCTGTAGTTCCTATCTCCAAGGGCTATTGTGAGGCTCAAATGAAAGAAAGATGCAAAGTGCTTTGCAAGCTTTAAAGATATTGTCCACTCTTCTGATTTCATCAGCATGGGTAACTTTCAGGCTAGAAATTCTTTTCACCAATGCATATTAGCAGCTTGTCTCAGAATGTTGCCTAGGATTACTGAGAGAGAAAGTGGTCACACAGATCATGGAGATATGGATCAGATGTAGACCTTGAACCAAGGTCTTCTCCAAGGCTTACCCTCTATCTACTACACTATGCTGCCCCCTCAAAAAGCTAATATCAATGTCAGTTAATTATTAACCACACTGGGCTATTAATTATTCCCCCAATTTAACTGATATTCCATCTCCCCGTCTCCATGAATTTGCTCAAGTTGTCAACCTTGACTGCAACGTCACTGCCTCTTCATTTGCACCAGAATCTTTATCTTTCTTCCAGGCTCTGTTTAGGCTTCAACTCCTTAGAGTAGCTTTGCCTAAAACCCCTCAATTATTAGACCTACCTTCCTCCTCAAATTTTTCTGGGTCAGCCCTGATCCTGGCCACCAAGTCTTGAGGCTTTCCTCAGTATTTCAGAGACTATCCCAATTAAACCCTCCTCAAATTGCCAGTGCCTGCCCAAGACCACATCTTGACCTGCTCCTGCTTGCTATAAGACAGACCTCCTAGGGCCTCACAGTACACATCATCATCATTTCTCATGTGGAGACCTCCAATCCCTCCACTCCTCAGTTCTTTTCTAAGCACCACTATCCCCATTAGCTCCCTTTTATATTTTGTCTTCTCCTATCAGAATGTAAACTCTTTGAGATTAGGGGCTATCTTGTTTTGTTGTTTTTTGGTGTCCCCAGCACTTTAGACAGTAATTGTCACATAGTAAACACTGAATAAATGCTGTTTTCTCCTACCTGTCTGACCTCTTCTTTTCAAAGTTTTTTGATGGATCTACATTCAGGTCAACCCTACTAATCATGGGCTTCCCCAAAGGGTCTGTCCTACATTCACTTTTCTCCCTTCTATATCATTTCCCTTAGTGATTGATCTCATATAACTCACTTGTGGATTCAATTATCATCTCTGCACATGACTCCCAAATCTATATGACAGTTTTAATCTTATTCCTGACTTGGTCTCCCATCACCAATTGCCTCTTAGACATCCTGAATTCAATATATCCAACATAGAATTCATTATGTCTCCTGCCTTTCACCCTCGAGCTTTCTCTTCCCAAGTTCCTATTTCTGTGGAGGGTACCACCATCTTCTTGGTCACCCAGGCTCATTAACCTCAGGGTCATCCTTGAGTCCTCGACCACTCAACTCACATGTCCATTCTTCAACTCAAAACAACCAAAACCACTTTAGGGTTATGCCACATTTAAATGGAAGGTATTCTCAGAGGAAAAGGTCTAACATTAAAGGGGACCAGGGAAGGCTTCCTATAGAAAGTGAGTTTAGAGCTGAATCTCAAAAGTCAGGAAAGAGAAGAAGCAAAAATGAAAAGGGGAGAGCATTCCAGACATGGACAACAATCTCCTCAGAGAAAAATTATCCCCTTCATCATAGTATTTCCCTACCAGGTTAAAAAAAAAAAGTTGTTAAAAAAAAATTCCAGTCATCTCAACAGCCTCACATATACAAGCTACTTAGCACATTCTTACTTACTGAAAAAAAAAAGCACCATTTGAAAGATCACATTTTTTGGTGGAAAAAAAAACAAATTTCAAAAAATCATTTTAAAGTACTGATGTTTGATGGGTTTTCCTCTTGAACATGCACTTAAGAAAGTATTTCTTTCCCAATGGATCTTAGAATAAATTTTCTTAATATACACCCACCTCTTTTTAACATCATTTCAGAATGGGTCTTCTAGCTGCTTCTGGTCTTTTAGGGAGTTCCCAGTCTCTCCCATTGCTTCTCCCTTCCTACTCTGTCTTTGCCAAATGTGTAATGAAGCTCCTTACCCATCAAGTTGCAGTTGTTTGAACTATTATAGAACAGAATATGATCTAAACTGGGGGGCCTCCCAACTTCCCAATCATGGTGACTGATTCATTGTCCTAAGAGACAACTCTACTGAGCAGAATTAGAATCTAACACAATACTACAAAATTCTGTGTGCTACACTAGAGACACAAGGATAGACACCTTCTGTTGTAGTTGGAGGGCAGAGGGAGTTGAAGAACGTAACTTGTATACTTAATTTGCTGATCCTTAGAGGGACCGAACAGTATTAAACACTACCTAAAACTAAACAAAAGTAAAACCTTATCACTGTT